GGAGACAAATGAAATAATAATAATAATAAATCATATTTTAAGAGGACACTCCCATCACGTCAAGATGTTTTAAGGGGGGTCCTCTATAACAAAATAACTGAAAGTTTAAAAGCTCAGATATACGCACATTCCAAATTAAAAATATACAAGAAAAAATATATCAGCAGGAATACCTCTGTCCAAAACTGATCGCCTTCATTCGTTTTTAGAGAAATGCGGAGCCACTGTCAATCATGCTGCTTTGGAGCAGGTTAAATTCTTTTTTCCTCAGCTGCTAGACATTACGTGTTTCTCTCACACCATCGACAACGTTGGAAAACATTTTGAGTTCCGTGTCTTAGACCGATTTTCCCAATTATGGGTATCCATGTTCTCCCACAGTGCTGCAGTACGGCTAGCTTGGAAGACTAGAACCGGAACAGCTATGAAAACATATATCGCAACAAGATGGTGGAGCGAGTGGGAAGTTATGAAACAAATACTAGAGTACTTTGGGGATGTGGAACCCTTTTTAAGGGAGAACGAGAACGACCATCTCGCTCCTGCTACAACTGGACAACTCCTAGACATCTTTAATGATACATCTGATGCTAAAGAACTTGAGTTGGAGCTAGCAGCACTGATTGATGGAGGATCACACTTTGTCACAGCTACCTACTATCTAGAAGGGGATGGGCCTCTCATATTCAGTTGCTATGAGCGCCTAGCTAATGTGTCACACTCGGTGGCAGTTGATGCATATCCTAACTTTGAGGGAGTGGCCAGCCAGCAAGCCAATGGAAACTTTACCTGATGATCCTACAGCTTTGGCCATCCCCCAAAATCAGATGGATACAGACCATCCAGCCCCTCAGTCTAAGCAGAATACAAGGCAGTCCACCCTCCCATCATGTGTTGCTCCATCCTTCCATCCCTCTCCTAGCCTAAGCTGCCTTAATCAGTTAACTCAAATGTTTCCCACCCATGACAAAGCATATCTTGAGGAAGTACTTATGGCATCAGCAACAAATCATGATGCCATCTCTGAGATTCCTGGTGTTTGCAATGATGATAGCTCATCATGTAAGTTTTAATGTAATGGTACTTTTGATTTTTATGACTGTTGCTATTCATCATGGTTAAAAGCTGGATCATTGGATAATACAATTCAAGACTTTTCATTGGCTTAGCCATTATGGTATATGAGCCAATATACCATAAACTACAATATGGTAAGCGTACGCATAAGCTTAAAATTGAAAGGGAGCTAAAAATGTAATAAAATTTAATAATTTAATGTAGCCTTTTTAATAAAACAATTATTCCACTCACGTTCGTTGGATATGAGATGATTGAAGCCAACTCCGCGCTACGTGCCTCGTTGGCTATCTATCATCTCATATCCACCGCGTGCTCGTGGAATAATTGTTAATTATACTGTAGGTGATGTACTAAGGCAGTATCATTCCTGTTACTGAATGGGATGTCATACATGTAGTACATAAGTGATAGTAATAAAATTCCCCGGATCTTGTTCCTTCCGGTCTAATATAACTGACTCGTGTGTTCTGAGTGTGATCTTTAAATCTTTAAAATCCCACCCCATCAGGACAGAAGAAATGAATTAAACAATTCCCTCCCAGACAGCCTGGTTGATCTTTTGGTGGACAGGAGTTATTATTCTAAATGACCTGCACCTGATGACATATAACTTAATCATCATTTTACTCATGTTGCTTGCTTAGTAATGCAAATATTTAGGTTCTGGCATTGCTTGTATCACTGTTGCAATCAGACTGTTGTAAAGGGTTGATAACGTGAAGGAAATGCTGATAATACCCTAACAATTACAACTGTCCAGTTGTCGTTCCATGTCGAGATATAAACCCGAGAATAACCTCGTCGAGTTGGTCATCGCTTATGTTTGACCACCTGCTGCAGCCAAACCCATACTCTTCCACTCTACAATAGATATAGTCCATCTTGATACTCGTAGCATCTGCGCCATCTGATTCCAGGTGCACCCTAGGCTTCTAAGATTTTCAAGAAGTTCCTCTGCAATGACGAACTTTGGTCTTCCAGGTTGCGATGTATGTGCAACACTAGCCGATCCTAAATCGACAAAACTTACTGTTCTCCTACCTATTTCAGTCATCCTCTCAAACCAGACCTGATGTATTTCAGAAAAACACTGACTGAGCTGCAGTAAATTGTTTCTACAACATTGATCCTCACTCTGATCAAGAACACTTCGCAGAACCGAGAATAACCGGTCAAGACAATTGAAAAGCAGCGCCGCTGAGTGGAACTCTAAGTTTATAATTCTGGCGCTTTGTTCACACCTATCCAGTGAATTTTCAGCAAAAAATTAATATAAAAAAATCATTCCAAATAGTTGCATCTACTGTTGCATCAAATAAAAAAACATCGAATAAATATATTTTTTAACAAATGATAAGAGCACCGAAACAGTTTTAGCACACAAATAAATTTTTATTGAATGAAAATATTTTAACAACTAAAAATGTCATTTACCAAATGAAAATATTTTTAGGGAATAAAAATATGTCATTTATTGAATGAAAATATTTTTAGCAAATAAAGATATGTCATTTATTGAATGAAAATATTTCTTGTCAAATTTTGCTACTTTTCGGCGACCATCGTAAAAACCCGCGCTTTTGCTAAAAGTCAC